GGGTCTACTACCTTTGCATTCTTTTGGAAGAATAATTTATTTTGCAATTCTTTTTCATTCCTGATTTACCTATGGTTATTCTACAGGTATTTTCACTAATTTTACTTTTTTCTTCCGTGTTGCATGATTTTCCCTGCACTCACCTCTGTTCTTCCATAATTACCATTCACTGAAGCATAATATGCATCAGCATCTGATGCATTTTTATTTTCATATATATCGACTACAACACCTTCTGATAATACTTCCATTCCTAATTAAATCTACATCTGTTATTCACATGCCTAGTCTTTTAAAGCATCTGAATTGCAAAGATTTTAATGCAGGAGTAAACAATTCCTTGACACGTTTTGGTTTTCATTTATTATGGCACAAAATTTCATAGGCTACAGCCCACTTTATTATATCGGTGGAGACTTCTCTTTCTCTCTCCCTCTCCCCACCCCTCCCCTCTCTCTCGTCAATACATTTGTCTGCGTGAAAGGTAACTGCGTGAAAGGTAATTTTCTGTCATGCACACTCTCAGGGCAGATCTGCATTTTATGCCTGGCCCGTTAAGAATACTGCGCAAGCCATTCACCCCTTCCTGCCTACAGCCTTTTGAAAATGAATTCTGCAGGCATATAGAATAGAATAGATAGAATAGAATAGAATAGAATAGAATAGAATAGAATTCTTTATTGGCCAAGTGTGATTGGACACACAAGGAATTTGTCTTCTGTGCATAAGCTCTCAGTGTTCTGCTGCTTCAATTCAAAACTACACTGCTCAAAAAAATAAAGGGAACACAAAAATAAGACATCCTAGATCTGAATGAATGAAATATTCTTATTAAATACTTTGTTCATTACATAGTTGAATGTGCTGACAACAAAATCACACAAAAATTATCAATGGAAATCAAATTTATCAACCCATGGAGGTCTGGATTTGGAGTTGCACTCAAAATTAAAGTGGAAACAAACACTACAGGCTGATCCAACTTTGATGTAATGTCCTTAAAACAAGTCAAAATGAGGCTCAGTAGTGTGTGTGGCCTCCACGTGCCTGTATGACCTCCGTACAATGCCTGGGCATGCTCCTGATGAGGTGGCGGATAGTCTCCTGAGGGATCTCCTCCCACACCTGGACTAAAGCATCCCCCAACTCCTGGACAGTCTGTGGTGCATCATGGCGTTGCTGGATGGAGTGAGACATGATGTCCCAGATGTGCTCAATTGGATTCAGGTCTGGGGAACGGGCGGGCCAGTCCATAGCATCAATGCCTTCGTATTGCAGGAACTCCTGACACACTCCAGCCACATGGGGTCTAGCATTGTCTTGCGTTAGAAGGAACCCAGGGCCAACCGCACCAGCGTATGGTCTCACAAGGGATCTGAGGATCTCATCTCGGTACCTAATGGCAGTCAGGCTACCTCTGGCGAGCACATGGAGGGCTGTGCGGCCTCCTAAAGAAATGCCATCCCACACTGTTACTGACCCACTGCCAAAACGGTCATGCTGGAGGATGTTGCAGGCAGCAGAACATTCTCCACGGCGTCTCCAGACCCTGTCACGTCTGTCACATGTGCTCAGTGTGAACCTGCTTTCATCTGTGAAGAGCACAGGGCGCCAGTGGCAAATTTGCCAATCTTGGTGTTCTCTGGCAAATGCCAAACGTTCTGCACGGTGTTGGGCTGTAAGTACAACCACCACCTGTGGATGTCGGGCCCTCATACCACCCTCATGGAGTCTGTTTCTGACTGTTTGAGCAGCCACATACACATTTGTGGCCCGCTGGAGGTCATTTTGCAGGGCTCTGGCAGTGCTCCTCCTGTCCCTCCTTGCACAAAAGCAGAGGTAGCGGTCCTGATGCTGGATTGTTGCCCTCCTACGGCCTCCTCCACGTCTCCTGATGTACTGGCCTGTCTCCTGGTAGCGCCTCCATGCTCTGGACACTACGCTGACAGACATAGCAAACCTTCAGGCCACAGCTCGCATTGATGTGCCATCCTGGATGAGCTGCACTACCTGAGCCACTTGTGTGGGTTGTAGACTCTGTCTCATGCTACCACTAGAATGAAAGCACCACCAGCATTCAAAAGTGACCAAACCATCAGCCAGAAAGCATAGGAACTGAAAAGTGGTCTGTGGTCACCACCTGCAGAACCACTCCTTTATTGGGGAAGTCTTGCTAACTGTCTATGCTTTCCACCTGTTGTCTATTCCATTTGCATAACAGCATGTGAAATTGATTGTCAATCAGTGTTGCTACCTAAGTGGACAGTTTGATTTCACAGAAGTGTGATTGACTTGGAGTTACATTGTGTTGTTTAAGTGTTCCCTGTATTTATTTTGAGCAGTGTATTTTCCAACCTGACCTTTCTTAAGCCTTTCAGAGCAGATGGTAGCCAACACTTAGTCCTGTTCTAATAGGAGCCCCACCCATGATTAGCGGCCGTGCTTGGCATACTCCAGTGGTCACTAGAGGCTACCAGGTTGCTATGTCCTCTCCCAGTCAGCAGTCTCCATCTTTTGATTTTATAATCTTCTAGTTGATCCAGTAATGAGTTTTTGTGAATAAACAATCTTCAATCCCAGAAGCTCAGGCTCCTTTCAACCCTTATATCCCCCAGTGGCATCCTTTCCATTTCTGGCCCAGGTGAAGCCTGATTCTTTTGCTTTCCTCCCCCTGCTCACAGGACTGCCAAACTTCCCTTCCCTTTATTTTTCAAATAATGTTGCTACTTAGCTATTCTAAAACTGGATTGCCAATTTGTGCTTTCCACAAAGCTTCCATGCACCCACAGGAAGGAAAAAAAACCCACCCCAACTTTTTCCTTGTTATCGTATCATTTAAAACTGCAGTATAAATATGACATATGGGAGTGGGGAGAAAAGAAATCCACATAAGTGGCAAAAGAAATAATGTGGGGAGGGGATAGAAGGCATCTATGTAGGGAAACTACTGAGAAAGCGAAGACAAGGCATGGGGAATAATGGAAAGAAAGGCAGCCACTGATAGATACAGTGAAATCTGCCTTTCCTTCCTGGGTGGGAGGGTAAGAAGCAGGAAATGATCAGTCAGGTCTTGCAGTGCCTCTCTGGTACCCTATATTCCTTTGGCCTGAAGTCTTTTACAGGTGGACCTCACTCAGTGACTGCCCTGCCGAATGACTGTTCAAAGTTACATAGCTGGCTGGAAAATTCTAGGAGTTGAAGTCCACAAGTCTTAAAGTTGCCAAGTTTGGGGACCCCTGTTCTATATAGTGGCCTTCACTGAATCAAGGAAGGAGTAGTTATGATGGGAAGATCATAATAATGTCAATAATTTCTAAATTACAGAGTCCACTGCAGTAAACAGGATTGAGGATTTAATTCAGTGACAACCTTTTCTCCTTGTTTCTGAAATGGAGATTATATTCTAGAATGGCCCTAAAACAGTTTCTAAAAAACTCAGCCATCATTTCACTTGTTACCATCCTACAAACACATAAGGCAGGGAAGGGGAAAGGGGTAAAAATGTTAGAAGTGAATAAGCCTTCATCCATGTTGGTACTGATCCAGATCGAACCATCACCCTTTTCTTTTTGCATGTGCCCAAAATAGGACTCAAGACATGACAACTGCAATCCAAGCCATCCAATGACCACTCTTTCCTACAGAGATTAAAATGTTTGCTACAACCGAGCAAATTATCCATTATTATATATATTGCAGATCTGCCAGGAGTATGTGTAAGTTTGCCATTGGCAGAGGCTGGCTCAGTGGCATTACAAGATGACCACCTTAATGTGGAAGATGCTGCCAGTTAACAATCCTGAAAGGGGAAAAACATTAAATTTCAGCATCGGATGACTTTTCAAAGGCTATTTAAACTTCACAGTCTTTTTCCTTTACAAAGTAACAAACAAAAGGCAGGAAATCCTTTCACTTGAACTCCCCTGTGGAACATCCGCTTGGAGAGTGAACAGAAACTCCGACCTGCCACACCTTACACACACACACACACACACACACACACACACACACACAGAGCTTCCTCACAAAGCTTCTTTCAAAGGACACCCCGTCCAAGACCGCCTCAGTCGCAGCTCCCTGGGAAGCTCCACTCATTCGCCTCCTATCTGAAGTTGTGTGGAGGGGGCTTATTGGTCGGGACTGCAGTCCAACCCATCTAGTGACCACTCTTCCGATACTTAAGGTGCATGGTCCAAAATCTTCGCTCTCCTCCAGCGGCTCTCGGAATAGGAAAGTTCTCGTAAAACCCTTGCATTCCGCGAAAGAGGAAAGTAACTGGTCTCTGAATTCACTTTGGCCTTTAAACTCTGATAACGGAAAGGGGAGGATCTGTCTCTAAACCAACTCCTGTAAGCACTACAAAACCTGCAGTTTCGTTATTTACACCCCCCCTTTTCTCTTAATCCCCCTTTTTCTCGGGGTAGTGTCTCGATCCTCAGCCATCCAAGTAGAGTTGTTTGGAAGTTGAGTCATGGCAACGGGGCTTCTTTTCTCGTAGGTTCAAAATGTTTCGCTGCTTATTCCGCTCCTCGGAGAAGCGAAAACGTTTCGAACACCCCCACCCACACCAGAAGCCGAGTTGACACGGCACAACTTCCAGATTGGATCAGATGACATGGCAGCAGGGTTCCAATATCTAAGAGGCTGCCACAAAGAAGTTGGGGCCAACTTATTCTCCAAAGCACCGGAAGGCAGGACAAAAAGCAATGGTTAGAAGCTAATCAAGGAGAGAAGCAACTTAGAACTAAGGAGAAATTTCCTGACAATTAGAACAATTAATCAATGGAACAAGTTGCCTCCAGAAGTTTCAACACTGGAAGTTTTGAAGAAGAGATTGGACAACCGTTTGTCTGAAATGGTATAGTTTCCTGCCTGAACAAGGGGTTGGACTAGAAGACCTCCAAGGTCCCTCCCGACTCTGTTATTCTGTCCTGTTCATCCGCCCCAGCGGGGAGGGCCAACGCGAAGGCTCCCCGAGCACCCGAAGTCCCGCGTGTTACCTTGCCGTATTTCTTAAGTCTCCTCTTGCGCGCCTTACTTGCGCGCTCCGTTTTCCTTGGCGGCGGCGGCTGCTGCTCGCCGTCCCAAGCGAGAGGCTGGTAGTTGTCCGGGAGGGCGGCAAAGGCCACTGTTTTGGAGGCGCAGCCAGACAACTCCTCTTCTTCAGGCTGGCCTTCGGCAGCCGTCGGGGTTTCCACTTCCCGCCGTTCCTCCTCTGCAAGGATGGAGACCTTGTCCTCCGCGGGGTTGCGCCGCCGGCGGAATTTGGCCCTCAGAGAGCCCGCCACGGGCATCGCGCTGAGGGAGAAAGGCGGGGACGCTTTCGAAGCCTTCCTTCCCCTGTATCCCCCCGAAACAGGCCGCAGAAGTTCCCTTCGCAACTGAGCCCGACAACAGGTGGAGCTCCAACAGGCGAGCGCGGACCTCTGCCGGGTCTCGCCTCAGGAGACAGGGAGAGGCGAATGAGGAGGGCCCTTCTTCCTGGGCAGGGATTTTGCCAGCACCTCTCCAGAGTTCAACGTCCAGCCTCGCGTTGCACTGTTGACACTGTCAGCCAGCACAGTCTTGGCAGCTCCTCCGGGCTTCCAGCGCCTGACCGTGCGCAGGAATCCAGCGCTGGGATTTGTATGATCAGGCCAGGAAGGAAAGGCTGGGCCTTTTTTTTTAAAAGGCAGAAATGTCCGGTAGCTGAAACCTCTTTTTTCATCGGATACTAAAGGAATTTGCTTTGGAATTGGAAGAGTTGTGGTTCCAATTGCCCTCCTACTCCCCCCCCCGCCTCTTCCTTTTGAACCTTTGACTATGTAATCTGGTGGTTTCAACTTTCTAATAGAACAAGTAAAACTAGAATTAATAAGATTAGGTAATTAAAAGTTATGAATCCACTTCTGCAGTTATAAAGGCCTACTTGAAAATAAAGAAGCCAGTTTCTCAGTGCAGTTCAGAAATGAGAGAAGTGAAGTTCTTATGTCTGGGAACAGCAGCTAAACCTTCCTAGGTGATCATGAAAGCCCCAATTCACAAAGCATTAGGTTGGCTTACAGTGAGGCTTTAGAAATATTTAACGGCTTATTTTGCAGAAGCTGCTGCTTTGAAGTCCTTTTTGGCTCTATGGAGCCAAGTCAAGAAATACAGTGTCACAGTTACTGCTATTTCATTGCAATTTCCCTTCGCTATTAGTTTTATCTCTTGTAAGTATCTGTGGTGCATGTAGATCGTGTATATTTTGCTATATTTTCCTGCCTCTAATAAGTAATCTTATTGATCTCATCAAAATGAAATGAAATCCAGTTAATATTTAAAATATGAAGAACCTCATGAGCAACTTTTAATCTCTTGATTTTCTGGCAAAATGGAAGTATTGATTTTTTTTTTAATTTCTTAAGTTTGATTTCTTAAGTACCAGATAAGCTCCTGATATTTGCTTTATTGGAAAATTTATTGAGTGAAAGCAATAAAATGGTTTATTGCTTTTGTTCAACATATTTACCTGTCCAGTTTAACCTACATTTTTACTGTTTTGGTGACTTGTCATCCAAGTACTAAACAAGACCATTTAATTTCTATATTGAGGAATGTGCTGAGACTTTCATGTTTTAGTCATTTGTCCATGTTACATGGATTTGATGACAGTTCAAATCAAGGGTTTAAAATATTCTCAGCCAGGTTTACTCCTGTTAAGTCTCCTCTTCTGAAAATAGCAAGAAATCCAATTATCTTTTACAAGTCAATAACCTTTTGTAAACAGCTCTTGATTGACTTGATTTTGACAAATTTTGTCCTGACAAAATTAAGTTAATTACAGAGAGAAAGAGAAAAGAAAGTATATTTATGAAACAGGAGGTCCTCTTAACAGGAGGTTAGTAATTGTACAATGGCTAAACTAGACCTGCAATTAATCCACATTCTATTTATTATGCAACAGGCAGGCTAGGGAAGCCTGAGCAGCCATTCCCACCACTTTCTATTTACATAACAAACAAACCAAGAGGCTGGTTAATTGAATTCATATAATCAACACTCAAGCTTAATTTAGCTCTCATAAAAGAACTCAGGGGAGTAAAAGAAAAAAAGATTTAGAATAAATACCACCATTCTTTTTCAAATTTCTAGTGTGCTTTCCATGCAGACCACATTGTTTTATAATCATGTTGCCTGTCTGAATTCCCAATAGTCATCCGGCAATAACAAAATTCAGAGTTTGAGATATATCAGTGCACAGTATCTATAAGAAATTTGTAGCACTGTGCTACGAACAAACTTCCGTGGCTTTAGGGTTCTATCTTATATTGTATGCTATGATTGCTTCTTTAGTTATATCCTGCTTGCAGAAGTTGATTCGCAACTTTCTGATTTCTTCAGACAGTTACTATAGGAATTCAATACAGTAGATCAAGTACAGTATTATCTCATGCCTCAATGTCCAACTGCATTAGAATTTCCAAATACTAAAAAGAATCAAGAATTACACATTCCCCCCCACCCCAAAGCAATCATCAGAAAGTGCCACAAGGAGCAGTTCAGTTTCTGATGCTCATTGCAAGAAAATGTCTACCTATGTATATTCTGAGGTTGAATGAAAATACACAGACCTGATCTCTTGACTTAAAATTGCTTAAAAGAACAGTAGGCATCCGGCATCTGCAGGTGAACTACAAGTTCATTCTGTACCATTTGATGAGACCCAGGATACCTGTACTGGTAGTCCTTGACTTATTATCATTTTAGTGACCAAAGTTATGACAACACTGAGAAAAGTCATTTACAAATGGTCTTCACTCTTATGGCCATTGCACATTTCAGCATCCCTGCAGTCACATGATCAAAATTTGGGCACTTGGCAACCAGCATGCATTTCCAACAGTTGAATGTCTTGAGGGTCACATGACCACCATTTACAAACTGCCCAGGGGCAAAGTTAATGGAAGTCAGATTCACTTAACGACTGCATGATTCGCTTAACAGCTGCAGCAAAAAAGATCATATACAACAGGGCAAAGCTGACTTAACAATTGGCTTACTTAGCAATGGAAATTTAGTGCTCACTTATGGTTGTAAGTTAAAGACTACCCATATTGAACAAATCAAGCTGGAGATCTTTCTCAAGATGCAAATGATTGGGCTCAAATTCTCATTTTTGGACAAGTTTTTATTTATTCATATGTCACATTTTGATCTGCCCATCTCCCCCTGAAAGGGTTTATGCAAAGGCTTCCCTGGCAAATTTATAAGGTTGGAAGAAAGAAAATGTCTACCCAGCACTAAGGTGGATGCATTCAATTACAGTGGTGATGGGTGCATCAGTGGAGGACCTGAATAACCAGGGTGAGAGCAGAAAATCTAAGTGGTCACTGAATTAATGGAACTTTATATATTTCATAAACTTTTTAAATATATTTTTTCCTAGGGTCCATTTTCCACATTCACTTGCCTACTCACGGAAAATAATAGCTGTCATTTGCAGAGATTCATTTAAAAGGATTCTTATCATATGAAAGGAGACCCGTCTCTCAAAATGAGAGTGGTTACCCTAGGCTGCTGATGCCTTATCTGATGTGCGAAGCAACTAGAACAGAGGTGTCCAACCTTTCACCTTCCCTGGGCCACATTAGAAGATGAAAATTTGGTTTGGGCCGCACATAAAATAAAATAACAGTAACGATACCTGATATCCAAAAAAACCATAGAAAACATAGTTAACATATTAAATGGAAATGAAGTTAGTGAGATGTTTTTATTATTATTTATTAAAAATTATTTATTTTTTATCACGGTTTATCACGGTTTACTTTCCGACCAAATTTTGCAGGGGGGGGGGGAGAAAGCTCGCCCGCCTCGCGCCTACCTTTCCTCCTGCAAATGGCCCGGGTGGATGAGGCAGGACTGGAAGGCAGAAGCAGCAGCGGTGGCAGCAGAAGTGGCGGTGGTGGGGGCAGAAGCGGCGGCGGCAGAAGCAGCAGCGGCGCCTGCCTCTCCTCCTCCTCCTCGCTGGCTCTGGCACAAAGGTTGGGGTGGGCACTGGGCCGCATTACAAGGCGATCTGGGCCGCATGCGGCCCGCGGGTTGGACAAGCCTGAACTAGAAGATAAAATCTTCAACAATTTGTGAAGATTTTCTAAGCAATTAAACCTCTATCTATCCAAAGCTCAATGGTCTTGTTTTCCCAAACAGGCAAATTCTTTAAGCCAAATGTCTTGATTCAGCTTTATAGCTATAATTATTCAAAAAGTTGCTTTATAACATTTTGTAGCACTCAAGGCATGCTACACTGAGATTCTGTGGAACTTACATAGTCACAAAAACTAAATTAGTGAGGTAAATCTGGTTAAATGTAATTTAAAAAATGAAGCCTTTTATAATCACTGAATTAGTGGCTATTTGAAACCCACATTATCTCTCCATACAAATCTTTTGTTTGGCTATGTGGATCTCTCTTTTTTGCACTGAATGTTCATTAATGCCTGAAAGCCATGTCAGGAACAGTTATTAGCAACTTTGGTCTGAAAATATAAAGAATTTAGACTATATTGTTTGCACCTACATTTAAACCCAGTGGGAACTTTTTGTAGGACTTCTACATGATTCTAAATGAAGCATCTGATTATAATTAAATTACAATCTCCTACATACATTTCAGATGTTTTGAGGCAGAACTATATTACAACTTGGTTTTGGTTCACCAAACAGAAAAAAACCATTCACTCTGGTGTGTATACTATAGCTATTCTACTGGCATGGGTTTCCACATTGTACTAAGTTAAAACCAGCCAAATAACATTAAAATTTAACATTATGTGCAAGCCAAAACAATTTGGGGCTATGGATTGTAAGGAATGTGGCTTTGGTGATCAAAAATGCCTATACACACATCCATACTAAGGCATAAAGCTGATGTAGATTATTCCACATTCATTTTTCACCACTGAAAAAAATCACCATTGTTTTTTATTTCTGTTGTTAAACTTCTAAGTACACTTTGATAATATGGTATACAAATGTGCTATATAAATCTTTTAAAAGGAAGTTAATTAATGTAAGAACTGGACTTACAAAACCGAATTACTTCTAAAAATAAAAATACATTCAGGCTAATTTTATATAGCTGTTTTGAAATTAAAAAGGAAATTTTGATAACTCTGCAAGTCTCGTCATATAACTGAAGTGGCATGGGAGATTTGCAATCAGTGGATGGATGGATATTCACAAATCTCTAAACTTCTCCTGATGCAAAATATGAAACCATTACGTCTTCCCTCCCCTTTCTCACAATTCCTTTGTGAACTACATCCAGTACAGATTGCTAGATAAAGAATAAGGCGACATATTTGATAGTATGGAGATCTGTTCAAGTAAGTTTTTAATAGAGTGCACCAGTGAATGTGAATTAGGATGACTTTCATTAAAAAAAGTTTAAAGGAATACCAGATAAAAAGGAACACAGTTCTTTCTTGCCAAAACATCATCTGTTTCCTAAGGCAGTACATGTTCATTGCTGAGCAGAACTGTTACAGAAGAGCTACATCACAGTACAGTACAGCATCTCAAGTCCATCTGTCAGAAGCCATTTTCAAATGGCACATTTAGCTACACTTACAGCCTTCTAAATTCAGGTTACAGAGTTTACCACATTTTTTTTGCTTTTTGCTTTTAAATAAAGTGATAATTTGGGGTGATTTTTCTAATCTTTATAGGAGTGTGCAGATGGGATCATATGTTGAAGTTACAGAAATTACAACATTAAATAACATTGCACAACCAACTGCTATGATTAATTCAGTACAAGATAATCAATATTAAAAATGTACCATGTTCTAATGGTTTTGCAGTTTGAATCACTAATTATGAAGGGGTTTTCTTATCTAGGCAACTGCCTGCATACAGCTGCACTTCATAGGTGTAATGATTTATAATAAATACAAGAAAGTGGGCAAAATATCCAAAACTCAAAGATACATGGGAACAGAATTCATACAATCACATCAAACAATGTAATAAACAATTTAGGCTTAAAAGTATATGAAGATCCATGTATACTTTGGGGGGAATTATTCTAAAAACCAGTTAATTCCTGAGGTGGCATTTAACATTAATTGTAATTTCACAATTCTTGTGCTATGAAAATCTCAATATGAAGGTAATATTTTCACAAATTGGGAATTGTAGTCTTCTGAAGGTAGCAAACAGTATTTCATACTACAATATAGATATGATGTATATTTTTACTCTAGTGAATCATTGGACCCAAGGATCTAAGGACATTTAAGATTTCAAATAAACGTAATCCAACATTTTACTTTATTCCTTAGTGTGTTTCAGAAACCCATTTTCTTCACTGTTAAGTGCCAACACTGTAAACATGTTTGCATTTTTTTTTGTCTGAACTAAACACTATTTCTTAAGGGATGGTAAGAGTGAAAAGGGGAAAAAGAAGTAATAGGGTGTAGACTACCTGCCAACTTTCTTTTATTGAATTTATATGTGGTTTGTTACAAAGTAAAATTGATTAAGCTACATTTCTGAAAACCATTTTTGTGCATTTTTTTAAAACTATGGAGAGTTTTTTAAAGAAAAAATGCATGGTAGAGGTAAGATTTATAAAAACCACAAAAAATGAGGAGGAGAAAAGACTAGGAAGAAATTTTCAACTCAAAGTAAACATATTTCTGTGCTGATGTCTAAACAACTATACAAGGTCTGTATTTAAGCCTTCTTACTATACAACTTTGTGAACATAAAATGAACAGAATGCTCTATGTACTTACCTGTTTTTTTAATGTAGGTCATACAGAATTAAATTTTACAATTCAGAATAACTATGTATAACCTTATTGCAATAGGGACAATCTCTACATGGGGAGTTTCACAGGCCAATCGTATTAGGCATAACCAGTACATTCAAAACATAAGCTTGAATCTTCCCTGATCCCAGAAATGTTATTTCTCTCTACAGCTTAAGCTCATTTGCTATTTTGGATGCAATGTTTTTAAAGGCAATAGAAGTTCCCGATATTCGCTTGAAGCGGACTCCGTTGAGTGAAAGGCGTGGCAATTTGCATACTTCCATCTCCCACTGAACAAGGCTATCTTGTCGCGCATCCCCATGAACACAGAAGAGCAGGAATCTTTCTTTTTGCTCGTAGTCACAGTTGTTAGCATCTAATACTTTTCGAATTTCTCTCATCATATCGTTTGGGTCCATGGAACTCGTTGTTTTCATACTCCAGGTGAACCTCAAAGACCGTGGCTTGGAATCTTTGCCATCTTCTTTTTCTCTTTCTTTTGGTTCCCCAGAAGTACTCCTGAAAAGATAAATAATATTTATACCCAAACAAAGGATTGGGTCAAAATATCATTTCAATTACAATCTTGTTGCTAAAAATATCAGTGTAACTCCAAAGGAGACTTCTCAGCTGTTGCCAATTTAGCCTTCTTTAGACTGGCCATCTGAACTCTGTACAGGGCTTTGAAAATACACAAAACAGAAGAGAAAAAAAAAACATGCTTAAAAAGCAGCAGGAAAAGGCAGCTACCCTGTTGTTCTCTAGAAATTTATGTGTACACCTCTTTATTACGGGAGTGTATTTTGCCAATTTAAAGATGTAGACCTAAAAAGCAAAATTAATAATTTTGGATGCTTTTCATTTTTCTCTTTGACAATTAAGTCTTAAACAAATAGTTTGCTCCAACTACTTAATTAAGTAATTCTTGTTATATTACTTTTGGAGGGAAGGAGGGGGAAATCTGCATCCAACAACTACAAGGGATTGTTTTGTGCTATAAAAAAAACTCAGAAATAACACTAGCACAAGCAGCATGGTGTTCTTTGCATCTTCTAAACAAATCAGAAGCATTTGTAAACTAAGCATTCAGTAGGATAATTGACAGGAAAAAAAATCTCCCCAATATTCAGTGTACTTTAGGCATCAATTGACATACTACATTTATTGATTTATTTAAAATATTTATACAGCCACCCATCTTATATCAAACTCTAGGCGGCTCCTACTCTTCCCCCAAAACATGATATTTTATGAATTTTAAGTTCTGGAGTCAATTGGGATATGAAAGAAACACAACTGTTAATCAATATCAGAATTGTTACTCAATATACCATGTCTGTGTAGACTCCTGGATACTGGATTAATATGCCTTGGATAAACAAAGGAGCTTCCTGGCCTTTTGAAAGCAGCTCACCTCAACACCAAGCACATGACAAGCCACCCCCATAACAAAATAGCAAAAGAGAAAGTGGATTTGACAAAGGATCTGAGCGGAAGAAAGAAAGAGAAGATTCCAGGGTGGATGCAGAAGCACTTGTTCGTTACTTAAGATCTTTTTATCTTCTGAGTATTGCTTAAGCATAAACAAGGCATCAACTGAATTTGACAGCATTTTTCCATTAAGTTATGGTGTTTATCATGTTAAGAGCTTTTTTGTCTCTGGTGGTGCTGATATGTCTGCACGCACAACCTGAAAGACTGAACACTGTTAGCATAATCTGTAGCACATGCAAGGATTAAAGCTAGAATTATTCCAGTTGTCTCATACTATTTTTACAGATACAAATAGGAACTCTATCCTTATCCATGTGGCTAAGAGTTATTGCCACTTATATGCACTTTACTGCATTGGGTTAATGACCACAGCAGGAGGAATTCTGATCTTGATAGCTTAAGGCAGAGATTAGCAACATGAAAGTTTATATATTAAATGTGTCAAGGGCCACCGTCCATGAAGCATTAGGAAGTATACAGCATTCATATGCCTTGCAAACACCTTGATGTGAAAAAGCAACTCTTAATAAAACCTCCAATCAAACACACTGTTACTAAGAAAGGAGTGCTTGCTTAAATTCTAAGAGCAATTTCATGCACAGACTGTTCAACATGCAGTGCAACTGAGGTGGCAACATAGGGTGTGCATGTCTTGCCTCATACTCTACAAGAAACATAAATTAATGCATGCAATTTGGTTGGGGTGTAGGTGCACTTCCAAATCATCATTCTGTACAGTAGACAGACTATTTATATATAAATATCTACGTGGCCCTTGGCATAAATCAGGGGTGCACAACTTTCTGGGGCCAAGAGTCACATTTGCTTTTGGGAATTGCAGTCCAAAATATGGTGGCTACCGAAAGGAGCAGATGGAATATCTTTATTTTAATTCAAAATGAATTACCATTATAGTGACTGTGTTAATCAATAGTTAATATGATTATTCCTTGTGTATTTAATATTACTTTATGGTTTATTAACAATTCTACAATGTGATGACATTTGAACACCAAACTACCATGGATTTTGGAGGTAACATGCAACCTTGGGGATCTTCAATTGTGCATCCCTGGCCAAACCTAGAAGTCCAAGTAGGATCTATGGAAACTAATTCAAAGATATTCATTTAATGATTAAAAATAATATTGGTCCAGATTATGTTTCTGTATATGCCTGTGTTAAGCCAAAAGTGACTTGCTGAACATTAATAATTTTGCTTAGTATTTGCAGAAAAGCAGCAAGTATGGCCAGAGTGCTGATTGATTTAGATGATTAGGCCCTCAGCTTGTTCTTGCAAAGACAATGTAGAGCAACACACTGACCTTGGAAAGCCTTAGAAGGAATTCAGCAGCCCACACTAGGAGCTGCTGTATAAGAAACTGCAGACAATCGCTGCTTTTATAATATTTTTTTTAAAATAATAGGAATTAAAGAAGAAGTAAGAAACTGAACTCAGATGTAATATTTGAAAGATACAAGTTACTTGGAGATTTTGCCATTTTACATATTAGTTTAAAAGCTTTCAGAATCATGAGATTTTGAGCACAAAGGGACCCAGCAGTGAAGTATTAATAGTGGCTCCTCACCTTGAGGTGTCAGTTCTGCCACTGGTTTCGCCTTCACTTGGATCCCTCAAAACAAAGTTAATGTTAAGATTTTAATAAATGAAGGTTAAAAATAAATGAGTCAAGAAAACCTGCATCCAGAACAACATTTAAATTACTGATTAACAAATATTCAGCATAAAATTATCATTTACTAAGATTTTATTAAACTTTTCCACAGCTGCAGCTTTTCATATGCAACTCCAATTTATTTTTACTAGAGTGGTCAACTTTAGTTCCTTCATTCCCATTCCTATCCCTTACATCAAAGTTTCCCAAACTTAGGTAAATTACCCCAAATTGGGTGTTTTTTCTTTGGATAACGATATACAAACTCATTACCAATCATAACAGGCACATTGAAAGAAGGGCTTTCTGAGAAGTGGTTTTGGGTAATAAAATTTTTTGGGAAGCACTGTATCAGTGTTTCTCAATTTAACAACTTTAAGATGTCTGGACTTCAATTCCTAAAATTCCCCAGCCAGCATGGGAATTCTAGAAATTGACATCTAAACATTTTAAAATTGTCAAGGTTAAAAAATACTGCCTTACATTATGGCTAAAAATAACCATCTGCTGACATATTCATAAGCCAAAGTTTTGACTATGCTCTTGTTTTATTCTACCCATTTCTCACAAAGCATAGCATTGTTTAGAGCACTACGGCATTCAAGACCCAGGAATGATTATTTTTAATTATGCCTCTAACATTTGCTATGTCATGACTTCATACCACAACACTGCAGTTCATTTGATAATGATATTAGGAATATATTTGCCTGCAAATTTAGGGTATTAATATCTGAAAATTTCCATATTAAATGTATATCTTCCAGCTTCAATAGCTCCTATTTAGGAACTTTCTATATTGTTATATATTGTGAATTTTAATTTTATATTCAACTATTTTTATCTCGAGTCAGTTATACTGAACAGAGCACCCATTTATGTAAATGTGTTAATGTACACATTATTATTTCAATCAATATTATCACTGAGTACAGGTAATCCTCGATTTATAACAATTGAGCCCAAAATTTATGTTGCTAAGTGAGAAATTTGTTACGGCTTTCCTTGTCACATTTTTAAGTGAATCACTGCAGTTGTTAGGTTAGTAACATGGCTGAATACCCATTGACTTTGCTTGTCAGAAAGTTGCAAAAGGGGATCACAAGAACCCAAGACAGTGCAGCCGTCCTAAATATGAACCAGTTGTCAAATATCCGAATGTAAATCACATGACCATGGGGATGCTCAATGGTCATAAGCGTGAAAAATGATAATAAATCATATTTTTCAATGCTTTTGTAACTTTGAATGGTCACTACACGAACTGTTGTAAATCAAGGACTATCTGTATTTATAACCCCGTCTGTGTTACAGTTGCATAGCATGTGACCAATCAAATGAAATGTAGCATATGCTTGGTACTTTCCAGAAAACAATACATAGCTTCAAGATTATTGGTTCCAAAGTTATCCAAATCAATAAACAGTTGGTTTGTTTGCAAATTAATGAGAAGTTTAATTTTGGTTAGCCTATCTTGGCTCTCTTCTATTGGTTGTAGATTATTACATTTTGACAGGCACCATTTTTAACATGATTCAGGGGGCTTCTATAGATAACCACTGGATCGCTTTCAGCTTAATAGGTTACAAACTTTGCATGCTTGATATATGCAGAAAGTTCCATATATAAGTTAGGGCACATTTTTGATAAATTATTCTCTATGATATCAAATCATTAATATACTATGTGATCTAATGCTATGTCTAACAGATACCCCGGATGCCACCAATCATTTGAACACTAAAGAACACTTGTTAGTGAAATGTGTTTCTCAATCTATTATACATGAGAAATCAAAAGGCTAGGTTAACAAATATTGCAATCATAACAATTCCAAACAAAGACTTTGAAGCTATTTTACAAATATCTAGATACCTCAGGAAGCTTAAATGTGAAGTATGAAATATAAACATGAAGTGCTATGGACCACGTTCTATACTGAAGTGATCAAAGAATGTATTTCAGAAGTGAAAAGTGCTGTATTAAAAATAGAATATATATGGTACAAAAAAACAATCAGTGTAGAACTCCCTCTACAACTTAAGGCATTTAAACAAGATTCATAATGTATGCATTTGGAAAGTAGTGTTTCAAGATGACACCTTGTTTTAAAAATACAAATTAATAAAAAGTGAAATTACTTTTAACTTTCAGAATGTTTAATTAGATAATAATTGATTTTGGATTTAAAATCTACTCACAAAGTTTTACAGTGACTACATTCATTAATTTAAATTTACATTGTCTGCTTTTCAGGAGAAAAGATTCCATTTAGCTAGTGCTTACAGTAGACAGTAAAGCATTTTGTCCTGTGTATAAGAGATAAGGCTTACAAAGATGATGGCTACATTTTCAATGTCTAGAATTTTACTTAAAATACAAAGAATCTGGAAAATCAATTTAAAATTTTTGAAATAAGTAATCATGAATACCAGATTCATGCAGTGTGGACATGCCGAAACAGAGATGCTCACCACAATTCCTGTTGTTGAAATGACATCCATGTAGGAATCTTGTGGTAGAATTGGCTTTTAATGTCTAAAATGCTAGCATGCCTATTAGCATTTTCACAAACATTGGCCAATACCATACTAAACTTTACATGTCATGCAAGATATCCAAGTTTCTTTAGTAATGGCATCAACAATAAAATCATAATTATTGCATTCCAAATCTTGTGAACATTTGGGCTTCAATGGGGCTTCTAAGGAGTTGTAAAACCAGCACCTGAATAAAACCTGCTTAGTTTTAACAGTAATTAGCCTCTTATTGCACAGTTTCTAATAATCTGGAAATGAAAACAGTGGTTCTTACTAACCTGCGGACAAATTTGGAAGTTATCTTGCTTATAATGCCAGTTGATGTTCCCCTTCTGGTTTGAGCAAATGTCCCTGTTTCGTGCGAGGGTGAAGCAGGGGGCCCATTGTAAGTGGCATTGCGCCTCTCCCGTAGCTGCTCGCCATGGAAAGTGCTTCGGCTTGAACTCCCCCGAGGAAATCGGGTTCTATCTGGAGTGGTAGTGCTTATACTGTGAGCAGATGGGGAAGCAGCAGGAGCTCTCTGAGTTGCACTACTGGAGAGGGAGAAGAAAGTTTGAAAAGCAAGAGAAAGAAGCAAGCCAAGGGAGGCTTACATTATGATTGGCACCTCTCTCAAACTTATCCTGGACTAAAGCTGAGGCTGAAATTGATATGTGTTCTCAATTTATTACAAAGCTTATGCTGGATTGCTTATTTAAAAACAACACTTACTGAAAAAGTAAGTTTAGAAATACTTTTGAAAAAGTACATGGTCATATTTACAAGGTATTGGTTTCACAAGCATGGAAGTCCATTTGAAAATAGAAAATTATTCAAATTCCTACGTATCCTTTAAAATATAGCATTTCCTGGCTTGTTTTGTCTCTTAGAACTGCTTGTAATTAAAACAGTGGTAAAACCAGCAGCAAAAGTGCTATAATGTTAAAAATACACACAGAAAAAAAACCCTACTTCTTTTATCCTCCCTTTAGATTTTCATTTTCCAGCATTCTGCATTCTTCCTTCAATAACTGGTTTCACATTTATTTCATGAACTACTTTCCATTCTAATCTCACCCTCATCACATGACATATTAGGCACTTCAACCCCAAGTAGATTTGCAACAGAAATTTCGGAGCAACACTGTGTTACCTATGGCATCATTTCTAATAATTTAATAATGACTTCTGATCAGGAAAATAATTACTACATTTTTGAAATACCTTGGTCGATAAGTTTCAGTGCCATCTTTGATAGTTGGAAGTGCAACTTTTATAGGATGACCAGAGGCTGACATTGACTTCTGATGTCGAGGTCGTGCAGATATGGCAGAGGGGACCGCGGAGCCAGCAGAAGGAGTACTACTTGCAGACATTTCTGTTAGGCTTTTATTATAGGGAGGAAGAGGTTTAGAGGAGTATCTTGAAATAAGGTATTCTCTAGCAAAGTAGTTGCATGTAAAATTTCCAAAGAAAGGTTGTATCTTTTTCTCCCCCAAAAACAAGGTTAAAGCCTAGCATAAACACCAGCTTTTAACAAAAAATGCAGCAAATGTTTATACTGGCTCAAGAAATAAGGCAGCTACCTTACAGCAAATATGGCTGTGTAACCTTCATCTTTCTCTTCCCCTCAAAAAAAGAAAAAAAGAAAGGAATCTTTTCACCAGTGACATCCATTTATCTATCTATCAAGGGAAAAACATAGTATTTTTAGATTTGGTGATGGGAGAGGTAGAAGCATATTAATTAAGATCCACTTAGCAGATTTAGAAAAGTACACCAATAAAGGAGAATCATTTCCTACCCAAAGTAATGTTATCTGCTGTCTAATTAGGAAAAACAATTACGGTTGACTTCCTTGATCAACCAGAATAAATTCTTTGCACTCTTTGGCACAGCTTCGGTCTATCATGTCATTCACAGACCCTGACCATTACTAAACTATTAGCAGTGTTTCAAATTAAACTGTTAGTCATTCTGAAAAAAGCCACACCTAGACTTCATTGCAAATGTAATCAACTGATTTCTGAGCACCCAAAAATAATTGTTTATTCAGGGGGATCTTTTTTCTACCTATGTTTTTATAATTTCAGTATTTAAGAAAATTATGTTTTTCTTCTAGCTCAATCCTGATGAGTTTGTATAACATCCAGAATTCCCAGCTAATATAGGATTTTAACAGTGATGGTTAGTAATTCTGGAAGTTGTAAACCCAAAATCTCTGAAAGAGAACCAAGTTGAGGAAGGATGCCCTATATAGCACCTATAAAAATCTTTGTTTTGTTTTGCTTTTGAAATTAACTATTCTCAAAAGCCAACATATAATCCTTCCTAGGACTGAAGGAAGGAGTGTGTGGTTAATTGTCATAGTATAAGGAGGAAAGGTTAATATTTTATTAAGTTTTTATTTAATCAGGAAGATTGCACCAGTTTCAAGAAGTTATAATACCTCTGCCTGAATTCATGGCTCATTCAGAAAGTGTAGGACCCACTTATCTTCCTTGCCGTGTTTGCTCTCATTATTTTATTTTTTTCCCCTGTCTCCTTATTTGAAGTTCTTTCTGGTAGTTGCAATTTCCACAAGCCACTAAATGAAAAAAATGTGTCAATCCCATGGAGCTATTAGACTAGCTTTAAATAGGAAAAGCAAGAGGTTTTGCACTTTGGTCTGTTTAGAACACTCAAGGGTGGAGGAGAGAGATAGAGGCAATTAGTAGAAACATAATTAAGGAATGCATGTGTAGAAGAAATGAACAAGGGAGGATACAACGCCTCTACGGAGGAATGACAAGAAGCGTGTATATAATCTTTGCAGGTTTAGCATTCCAGCTAAGTTAGGGGAGAATGTTTTGAAAAAGCAGCAATTTAATTTTTGCTGGCATTTTCCAAGCTGACCTGTGCATTCAGTTGACAGCTTTCAGCAAGGACAACAAAGGAACCAACAGCAATTACAGCCCACAGTTACAGTGTTAATCATTGATGTATGGCTTATGTATTTATAATGCTCATGTAGCAGCAGTTATACATAGACATTCATAGACCAAATGAGTTCCACTGTTAGTTCTGCTCAGGAATAATGGAAGTAACATCAGAACAAGGCTGTTTGAGGTTAATTAGGCTTCTCTTAGTTTCCATTTTCCTACAGAACCTGCTTAAATGATTTGTTTCCAAGCATCCCACATTAAGTTGAAAGTGAATAATTAGGAGATCTTTGATTCTGGGGAGATGAGGTTTGGTACCTGTTGTCTTTCCCATTCTGAATGGCAGAATAGCGGTCTGTAGAACGTTCACAGACATAGGTGTTCCTCCGTGTCATGCTAGTTCCAGAAAACATATTGTTCTAGAGGAGAAGTGGACACAGATTTACACTTAACTAATGGTAGGATGAAAAAGCCCAAGTTTATAGTACATTATCATGCTCATAGACAAGAGAAATGCCCTCTTACTTCTGTTTAAGAAATCAAAGGCTTCCGCATTATATAAAAAGAACAAGCTCTCATTATTAAGATTTCAAATGCAAAGTGATAGTAATGATGAACAGTGTCCTGAAGGGAAATAAATTCCTCATAGTCTTTGGCAATAACTACTGAAATTATCTCCTAATAATAGGCCTCAATAACTATTCACAGTTTTATTAGCCTCTACATATAAGGTATAATTTAAATTCAGAGTAGAATGCAACATCAGCACAAATGATGGTGCAAACCACAGCAAACAGTTGATCTGGTGGCCAGGGTTTAGGTAGTTATGAGGAAGAGGAGGTAATTCTCCAATTCAAAAATGGGTCTGAACAAGGTCCAAAAGGCTCGATATCTTTCCTTGGGTACAAGGGCCTGAGTGCATATCTATTATGTTAGTGGGGATATGCATGAGAACTGTAATGTTATGTTAACACCTAGATTAACACTAGACCAACAATCAAGAAATAAACAATACCCTAATCAAGGAACCACCAATGCAGAAAAACAAGCTAACAGTAAACAAAACCTAATCAAGGAACCACAAAGTCCACTCTCACCAACACTGACAGGGCAAACCACTAGTATATAAATGAAAACAAAACCCATTCTCTTCTAACATTGATGACGTTGCCTAGTTTGATAATGAAATGTCTGGGGAAAAAAAACTAAGCTCAGAGAGCACCAAGGAGCCCATAAGGTAAAGACTGCTCACTTCTAAGTCATATGTCTAAGTCATAATTGTAGCATTTCAGCACACAATATCCTGCTACAGCTATCAACTGTTCTGCATTACTACAAACAAAACATGTAAGTATTTCTGAAAAGAAATAGCATCTCACTATTGTCGTTCCAATACAAGTAAGCTTAAATTGCCACCACAATGGCTGATGATGCTATAAATCACAATACAAGTATTTTAATATCAAGAAATGATAGTATAAAATTATGCTATATGAATAGGTTTTTTTTCCATATTCTAATTATGCTATCTGCCAAATACAAAGCAATAAAGGCATTGCTTATTTGATTCAAAATAAAGGAGTCTGCAGAGTTGTCTGGAAGGTAAATTGGAAGGATGTGAAGGTGAGATCTTGAGCAACAAGGACAATGAAAGACCAGGTTCCAATTGGTAATCAGAACTTTTCTTCCATGGGTATGGTCTTCTTTTCAGGATTAGTTGAGAGATGCCAAAATATAACTTCACTTGCAAATCCTTCAATAATCCAAATGACACAATTATTTTTGTTACTTGGATATTGTTACTACCTTGCTTTAGAAGTCTTGCTTTCTTAATTTTATGTTACCATCAAAGCATTCACATAAAATATTAAACTCAACAATAATTATGAAGATCTGTTATGTGCTACAGAGATCTGACAGAACAAGTGAATAAAAAAAATCACTTACACTTGGAACAACGGTTGATTTTTTCCTTTCAGGGCCTACTAATGGACTTGCTGTCACCTCACTTTTGGACCCAACTGTTGTGCTGCTCAATTTTCGTGAAATTTCTTTATCCCATTCTTCTTTATATTCACTCTCTACACTGTTTGCTTGAGCTCTTTTTGAATATGAGACAGCAGGAGGGATGGATGGGCCAACTATGAAACCAAGAAAACATCAATAAGATCATGTATTACTTTCAGTCAGTTTGATATTCACATTTGCTGAAAAACAGTTAATATTTTAGGACATATTTATGTAGAAATATTAAAAATTCAAACAGGTTCACAAATTTATAAGTGCCCCTATGCTTGTATCCTTAACCCATCTTCATTCTTTTTTCTTTTCTGCAGTTCCCATGGCAAGTAAGTTTGAGAAATAAAACATTTGCACACCCAAAGTTTGATACCACGTGTTAAATTTTATGTTTAAACTATCTCCTGAGATACAAAGTTAAACATGGAATCTTCCTGCAAATGTGAACAAGTACTTACTTTTTTCTGTAAGAAAGTAGTAACCTTACAGATTCAAAATAAAGAAACAGTGAATATGGCAATATTTGGATACATTTTCTTTGGCAGAAATAATGGTTTCCTATAACCAGAAGAGAAACTATTTTTGGAATTTTTTTTCCTTCCTTGTCGAACTCTTCTAGCTCAATGATTGCCTAAGTCTCTTTGATCCCCTTAGAAATTTTCAATAATATTCAAGTCTGAAGACTAGGAAAGTGAAACTTTAGTCCATATCACTACAGAACTCATGGCTGAAAAAAGGTGGATATTTCAGCAACCAAAATGTTAATTCCAATTATAAAGCACTTATAGAAAGAAAGATAAAACTTTAGTAATGCCCCTGGCTTGAGTATTATTGAAAATCTGTGGAAAAAAGCTCAAACAAGAAGTACATGCCAGGAGAAATTATGAACATAGAACAGTTTGCTTTCTTCAGAGTTAAAATAGCTACAGACATAAAAAGAAATGCAAATGAAAACTACATCTCTCCAGTAACCCAAATTATATTTATACAGACAGCTCACATGATAAAAGCACAATGATGTGTTAAGCAATGTTCAGGAAGGTGTTGTTGCCAAGCCCCCAGGAAAGAGAACACAACTTAAAATTATATTCTACTACTTTACTTGGTTGAATGCCATCCCCACCATGTTCACTGAACCGACGCTGTTTTTGATTGGCTGATATACTCCGCTGAACCTTCAGGTGAGCAGGAGATTGCATAGAGCTGTTGTTGAGGTCACTTCCAGGTCGAGATCTTTGACTCAGGGTAGTACTGGATAGAGACTCAGTCCCATCACACTGTAAGGATAAAAAACGTATTTGGAAACCAAGATCATCTCTCTTTTCTCAACTACGCTATTTCTTTCTTAAGTTTAGTTAACTTAAATAGTACAATTAAGGAGTACTTCTAAAGTCGCATTAGAACAACATTTATTACCAAATGACTTTAATTTGGGCAGAAGATTGCAGATTTTTTTCCATAATAAGATTTTTTTTTTTTTAAAAAAAGTAAAATGCAGCATCAAGAGCCTGCTACTGCAAAGGAAGGCAATGAGGCTTTTGTTTATCTCTAGAGAGGATTCAATCACCCTTAAAATTCTGTTATGGAAGGAATAATTTGAATGTGTAAATTGCTATGATTAAATGGGGGAAAAAACTTTGGTTATAATATAATATTGGATCAATCGGAGAAGAGGTGAAGTAAAGGATTGAAATTTACAGTGGATTATAATTTGAAAAATAATTTTTACAAGAGGATGAATTGTTGGCACTTAACACCTAATAAATTGTCAATGATGTATATAGTAGTGTTAAATGTTGAAAATGTAAACAATCTGAAGGTACTTTTTATCAACTTTTGTGGAAATGTAGAAAGCTAGGAATTATTGGAATCAGGTATATATTTTAATTCAAATAATTCTTACACCGAACATAAAAATGAAGCCAGAGGCTTTTCTCCTAGGATTGATGCATAAACAGATTGAAAAGGGAGCATGGAATTTTGTTTTTATAAGTGATAACAACAGCAATTTTTATTTGTGCGAGGCGATGGAAAGACCCACAGGTACCCACAATGAAAGAATGGATGGTGAAGATCGCAAAATTGATTACTTCCATTAGAGAAAAAAACTTTATCTTCATTGCTACCTGGAAACAATTCTTTGACTTTTTATGTGAAATGAAAAAAATAATAATGAAATTTTAGCTTTGGGATTTGATGACTAGATATGTTTATTGATTCTAGAAGCACTGTACATTATGATTTAATTTAGTTCAAAAGGTCACTGTGTTTTCTGTTTGTATCTGTACTGAAGGAAGTTGAAAGTTCCTTTTTTTGGTAGCTCTTTCTCTTATCAACTGCACCCTCAATTTTGCATTTTCCCTTCCCCCTTTTTTGTTTCTTAATACCTTTTCCAAAATGCAATAAAAAAGAAATGTATAAATTGTTTTTCAAAAAGCAATTAAAACATTTTAGTGTTATAATGCCTCTAATTATCTGTGACTATGGGTGGTCACCTTAATATATGGGTTGTTTTAATGTTACTGTTTTTATTATTTTCTTGTTTCTTGCCTTGCTGTAAACTATTCAGAGTCTCACATTTCAGGCAGTTTACAAAGATGATGTATATAAATAAACACCAGTTACAGAAAGGATGATAACATTCTTTAAAGCTTTTCCATTCCTAATTATACTCCAAGGATGGTTTTCCCCAAAAAACAGAGAAAAAGAAACAAAGATCAATCACAGAAAGACAGGTGTTTGCTTGTAGTGAATGATCACTCTTTAATAAACAAGCTCCTGATTTATGAAGCACAAGCTTGCATCCACTGATCCAGCTTATAGACTTCCAGCCTCTGCCAGCTTGTTTCCTAAGATTGCTGGCTTGTGACAAAGAAAAGCATATCTTGCTTTTATTTCTCAATTCACATAAAGGATTGTGTGTGTGCGTGCTAGAAAACACCTTAAGAAATTAAATAACGCCAACACCTTAATTTTTAATCATTTTGCGCTATAGAAGAAAACTTCCAAACAGAGTAGAAGTTTATTATTTGGGTACAAATGAAATGCTCGCAAGACTCTTAGTGTTTATCTAAACCAGGTAAAATCCAAGAAATGTTCAGATATTAAGCAGGTTAAGCACAGCATGGCAGCCTCCAAAAGAAGTGGAGGATTACTCCCATAACTGTACAAACTGCAGTTCAACACAAACAGGAAGATTTAAGAACAACGATGGAGGCCATTTTGGGGCTGACACATCAAAAATTCAGAAAATGCCCAATTTGACTCGGCTGGCATTATCATCACCACCACCACCCCTGTCCAAACAAAAGAAAAATAATTCTGTACGTTTTCATTTTTTTAAAAAATACAGTCCAACCATGTGCCTGATCCCCAGGACCTGCTTATCTTCAGGCAGTGTTCTGTTTCTGTTGACAGCCCCAGCTGCTTACCCAAGGCTGTGCTCTCTTATGGCCTCCAGAGCCTCTGAAAATTGCACAAGGATGGGATGTCCTTTCACACAGTTTTCAGAGACTGTAGAAGAACATTCTCTGAAACTGCTTGAAGACTGAAAACCTTGAAGAGGTTCTGAAGGCTACATGAAAGCACACCCCATTATTATTATAATCTTTGTAGCCTTCAGAAACTGCAGAAAAGCACACTCCTTTCTTGCACTACTTTTTAGAAAGAAAATAAGATGAAACTCTGCAAATGCTTTCTAGTATTTTCCCACCATGGTAGCATGTTAATGGTGTTAGACTGAACTCGAGGTATCACAATCATGTTTATGCTTCTGATAATCAGATATCAAGATCAGAGTCCAAAAGTTTACACTAATTATTAAAGTAAGAAAAACATGTAAAGTCCTAATGACTGTGCTTCATTGAAACCCCAAAAGCATTCAACTGTTTATCAAAGAGTCGTTGTCCCCCCAAAATCTACTGCATGCATAGATTAGGCAAAGGTTTTTAAAAATGGCTAATGTATAAATTCTCACCCTGTGAGTTTCAAAGAGTTGTTTCACTTGTTAGTAAATGCTATGGGGAGATTAGGGTAACACAAAGCACTCAAGCAACCACATCCTTTGAAAGGCTTGTGTAACTACTTCCAAGGCTATCCCTGGCTGTCTGCACATTTACATGCACAAACCCTTCATTTTCCTGAAAATGAAGCAAAATGCTTGTCTATGTATTCACATACCCAGACATGTACGGGGCCAGGAACAGCCTTTGAAGCAGCTATGTGAGACAGTTCCCTTAATACGTCAAGAGGAGGTACTTTATTTGTATTAAAACATTTTACCAAAGTGCCCCTTTCAAAAGTTTGCACAAACCTAGATAACATGTTCTATCTCCTCGAATTAGAAATGCAAAACAATTTAAAATAAAGGTTAAAAAAATGGTAAATTACCTCAAGTGGTTTTCTCCCTAGAAGCAAATATGTAGCCATTACTTCATCATATTTTTGGTTTACTAAGGAGTCATGAATTTCATCTCTTGCAAAACCCATAGTGACCATTATATCTAAGGGGAAAAAACAGAATTTATTTTTGATAAGACTATCTGAAATATTTAGGCTAACCTAAAGGCATTTTCTAATGTACTGTTTTTGTCCAAACCAGTAATAATTCTGGGAATATCTCAGACTCTCTCTGAGAGTCATTGAGGTCCTTTGTCATTAGCACTCTTCCTGAGAGTCACTGAGGTCCTCAATATAATTTCCTATTTTATTTATTTAAAGTATTTGTACTTTATATTCAGTTGTCTGGCAACATTTCAGAACTTCATAGATCACAAATCTTTTTAAAAAATATCTAACCAGACAGCCAATTCATAATGCCTCCCATGTTTTATGAAATGTTATTGCTAAACCTAAAACTTCATAGAATTAAGAACTATAAAAGATAGAAAAGAAAATGAAAGGATACTGATTATTTAATGTCCTCTGTATCATGGATCCTAGCTGCTAAAGCCAATTTACATTTCTTTTTTAGAACAAAGTATAGCTGAACAGAAGTATTTCTCCCCTGAATTCAAGATCATATTTCAAATATGTCTGCCACTGTAATAAAAAAGGAAAATGCAAACCATGTTTTCTATGATAAGTGAGTGGAGAATGAAGAATTTGGAGTGAAAAAAAGTATTCTGGAGACTCGAGCAAGACATGAATTAGCTTCAATCACATCTGATATATAATCAGATAGCACAGAATGTAGGTAATACTTGGAAAACCTAAAAAGCAATCAATTGTTAGATTAAAACTGTTACCTATTCGTTTAGTGTCATTAAAATCTGGTTCAGGTTCAGTGTATGGCTTTAATTCTTCTTCTTCATGACCAACATTCATCCATCGGTCCTTCATAATTTGCTTGAAAATAAACATAATTGAAAAATGGAATTATATTGAATTATTTAGAGGGGGAGGTATTAAAACTTCATAAATGAAACAATATTCATGTTATTTAAATATATACTTTAAAAGTAGCAATAAAATGATTAATTCTATATCCACTTAAAAAGATAAAGGCATTATTTTCAACAATTGTTCAAAAGAGAAAATCACTCAGTTCAAAAATTATGTCAGTCATATAATATGTACAGACAAAACTGAGCAAAATATGAACCTCAGTGATGAAGGAATACTTTCCATCCAAAAAAACTTGGGATCAATTATTAACTTCCTCAATAGGCAGGAAAAGAACCGATACTGAAATCTAGAAAGCCACTGTAAGATTCTATGGATTATACTAAACTAAACAGGCTCATTGTCTATGAAGATTCTCAGTCATCCTGGTCATGGTTGTTCCAAAGGTGCTTTTTCAAGACGCAACTGTACTTTTTTTGTTTTTCCTTGAAGAAGTTTCGCTCCTCATTCAAGAAGCTCCTTCAATTCTGATTGAATGGTGGGGAATGATTCCTTGTAATGAGGTGCTCTGGTCTTTAGCATTCTCTCTGAGAGTCATTGAGGTCCTTTGTCATTAGCATTCTTCCTGAGAGTCATTGAGGTGCTCAATGACTCTCAGAAAGAGTGCTAACAACCAGAGGACCTCATTGCAAAGAATATAAATCTTTCCATTCCCCACCGTTCAAAGAAAGCAAAAATTGCCTCTTGAAAAAGCACCTTTGGGGAAAACAGGCCCATTGTTTTACTTAAAATTAGTCAGTTTTTAAATTTCCCAATTAACTAGCAAAATATATAATTGCAACCCACTGCTTGTTTAGGCTATTCCGAATTGAAAATAGTTTTTAATTGTAACAGAAATATTAACAATGTATTGGTGGACCAAGAATACAGTTTCTTAAAATTCCAAAATTATATTGAAAAATTAGAAAACTTCAAGATATTAAGCAATAGCTTAATTTGTTTTGAAAATATGTAATTTATCCTGGAAAAGGCAATAAATTTGATAAATAAAAGGATGGAGCAGTATGTACTACTTTTATTTTTCATTTCAGTGTGTTTTCATTAATTTCATTCATTCATTTCAGAGTATTTTGTATTTGATAATTAGAAATAAATAATCCTCTCTTGTGCCTGTATTCTAGTAACTAATATTTTTTGTAAAATGTTTTTGAGTTATTTACTGTAAGTTTTTTTAAATTGTCTAACAAATTTGCTAACATATTGCAATCCTACTCATTTACAAGACCATTAGAAGTCAGTGGACCTTTCTTGATAAATCTATTTCACAACTTAAACAATTCTATCAGAGACAACTGTTCTCCAGGATGAATATACTTATCCAAAACATTTTAAGTCTGATGATTATATAGTATTTTATAGTGAGTCAAAGAAATTATTAACGATATAAAGAATAATTATTTTAGAAGTATTTAATTAATGCAAGCTGTAATTATGTTTAAGTTAATTAAATCCAATTTAATTACTATGCTGATTCCATCCATGTTTTGGAATACAACCTCCCCTATATTACTTAAAGGCCAGGCATGGCTTTTAGGCCAAAAGTCTTATACAAAAGTCTAATACATGGCTTTTCGGCCAAAAGCTTAGGTTCTCAGGAAGAATTATAGGACCAGTTTTAAATCCCCCTTGGGTTTAACTTATTTCACTGAATTGGGTTAATAAACAAGAAAATATTCAGAGAACTTACTTCTAAACTCCCTCTCTTAATTGGATTCAACACAAGTAGTTTTTTCAGTAGATTTTCACAGTCTGTGGACATATAGAATGGTATGCGGTACTTTCCACGCAATACTCGTTCTCGCAATTCCTTTTGAAAGCCAAACAAAGAAAATAAATCAAATACTAAAGCAAAAATTCAAAAACCAGACTTTAGTAATTCTAGATATTATTTCTACCTTTAGGTTCTGACCGTCAAACGGCAATGATCCACTGACAAGAGTGTAAAGAATGACTCCAAGACTCCAAACATCTACTTCTGGGCCGTCGTATTTCTTTCCCTGAAAGAGTTCTGGGGCAGCATATGGAGGGCTTCCACAAAAAGTGTCCAGTTTGTTGCCAACAGTAAATTCATTGCTAAAACCAAAATCTGCAATTTTAATGTTCATGTCTCCATCAAGAAGAAGGTTTTCTGCCTATAAAAGGAAAAAATATCAAATACATGGGTACATTTAAAATGTTTTTATACCATTAACAGTAGAACAGCTATTTAATCTAAAGAACTGTGTGTTCTATGAAAATGTAAAACATTTAGAATGTCAAATGTCTGCGCTTCAAATAATAAATTCAATTATATGCTGTTTTTCCTCTTTTCTTCTATTTCTAAGCTACCAATTTGATTGCAACTTTATATCAAATTGTCATCAGTGAGATTTGTGAAAAGTGTAACACTTAATAGCCTTTCCTTTTTCAAAATTATTATTGTGGATTCTAGAGAAATAGCAATAGCAAAACTTCTATACAGCTTCATAGTGCTTTGCAGCACTCCCTAAACAGTTTACAGAGTCAGCATATAGTTGAATAAAAACATAAACAAAAATAGTGCTGTATTTAGAAACAAAAATAAAGATCAGTATTTTTGTTCTTCCTATTTCTGATTGAATGACACTTATATACACATAACAAAAGCAGATGTATCTGAATCTTCTTTTAAAGATTTATACCAGGTAAGAACTATTAGTTCCAAAGGTTTGCTTTTTTTTACTATTAAAAATATGCACTCTTCTAATGTGATATTTTCTAAATTAATTATTTGAATTATTCAATTAGTTCATGATACTTATTAGATTTTTTTTGTTTAAAAACTAAGAATATAGGTAGTCCTTGGCTTTCTAAAGTTTTTTCAGTGACTGTTTGAAGTTACAAGGGCACTGGAAAAAATGATTTATGTTCATTTTTCACACATAATCATTGCTGCAAGTCTTACAAGCAAAGTCAATGGAGAAACCAGATTCACTTAACAACCATGTTACTAACTTAAAAACTGCAGTGATTCACTTGACAAGACTGGGAAGACAAATCATAAAATGTGGCACAATTCACTTAACAAATGTTTTGCTTAGTAACAGAAATTTTGGTAAATTGTGGTCGTAAGTCAAGGACTACCTTTAGATTAGTGGTAAAAAGAAGCTTGTAGCTGATATGTACAAAGGCTTTAGATTATTTTCAGTTTAAGGAGAAATGAATCTGAGAACAATGTTTTAGAATTATTTGAAGAAGATACACACAAAAGGACAGAAGACTGAGCTACCAGATATTATAAAATGTTACTCTGAAAAATGAATAAACTCCAGAGGAAGAATATCATCTCAAAGAAGAACTTTGACATATAACCTTGCATCTAAATTCTTGCAATGTGTGTAGTACACATATTTGTCTTTCAAAATACTGTAGAATGATACTGCTAACTGTCAAAATTAATTTTACTGCCCATCAACTCTACCAAGTGCCTCTTTACTTGTATACTTTTCATTTAATCTAAGGCAGTGGTGGCTAACCTTTCCAGCACTGAGTGCTGAAATGGGAGCGCATGTCCCCAAAACCGGAAGAGCAGCTCCCTGATGCGCACATGCGCAGGAGTGCCGGAAACCGGAAGCTTAGCTTACCAGCGTGTGCATTCGTACCGGCCACCTGGTTTTCCGGTTTCTAACATGGATGAGCACATGAAGGCCAGCTGGCTGGCGTATGTATGCTGGGAACCTGCTCTTCCAGTTTCTGGCGCTCTCGCATGTGCAAAGACCAGCTGGCCATTGCGCATGTGTGCGCAAGAATCCAGAAGAGCAATGGGCAATGGCTGGCACGCCTGGAGAGATGGGTCTGCATGCCAATTCCAGCACATGTTGTATAGGTTTGCCAGCACAGACCTAAGGCTTTAAATAAGTCGGAGTCAGAATTTTTGTTGCACATAAGCTGCAATATGCTAGGACAGAGCTCTGACTGTGATACTGCTGATACCGTGTTTCCCTGAAAATAAGACCTACCCCCCAAAATAAAACCTATACCAAAAATAAACTCTAAAATGTTTTATACATGTACCTAATATAATCCCTACCCCCCAAATAAGCCCTACTTACACAGCCGCCGCCCATTCTGTCTGGTTGCTTGTGGGGCTGCCAACACAAGGTGAGGTAAGGCAGATGTGGGGGATGGAGCTCCCCTATCTGTCCCACACAAGCTCCCTCAGGGCCCCCACATTTAGGCCATTGATGCCCTGACGACTACCTAACAGCAGCAGCACCAGGAGCCATGTCCAACAGGACTCCACCTGGCCGCTGGCTTACTTCTTCTACCTGCTAATGGACGCAATGCAGCAGGAGGACGAGTGATTCACTGGTGCCCCGGACAAAAAGCAAGGCACATGTCTGGACATTGATTGCCTGGCTACAGGAGCTCTGAGGTAAATCAGTGTGGGGTGTGTGGAGCAACTCCACCCTCCCACCTAGCATCATGGTCATGGCAACGGCGTGTCACTTAGCCTCCTGCTCCGTTGCGGCCATGAGCAAATAGAAGAAGTGGGCTGGCAGCTACATGCAGTTCTGTTGGAGCCACCGCTGTGAGGTGAGGCAGGTTTCAGGGTGGGGGTGGCCTGGCTGCCGAAGCCCTGAGGTAAGCTGGTATGGGGCACTGGAGGCAGCTTGACCCCTGCCTCATAGTAGCGGCACACATGTGCTACATGTCCTCCTGCCTCGTTGCAGCCAGAAGCAAATGAAAGAAATGGGCCTCCTGTACATGGGGGGGGGGAGCGATAAGACTTACCCTGAAAATAAGCCCTACTGCTTATTCTGGCGCCCAAAATAATATAAGACTGGGTCTTATTTTCTGGGAAACATGGCAAGAAACATCTACAAGTTATTGCTCAAGTCAAGGCATGTAAAAAAGATACATGAGAAATTGAAACTAAACTAATATACAATAGTAGCTTAGTCAGATCATGTTTTTGTGTTTTTGTTGTACATGATTGCGTTTCCATACACATAATACTAAATAATGACCTAAAGAAACAACAGGCATTAGAAAGACCTTTAACTAAAAGAAGCTATTTCAGTGACAGTGAAAGAGGGACTTGGGAGGCATAAAAATTAATATAACAAAAGTTCACATGGAGAAACTAGACAAGGTTGGGACACATTACAGAAAAAATACAGGAAAAAAGCATTTCCTTAAAGTTAGCATTGAATCTGTTACATATAACATATGCTTTTCTGTAGAGAAGCATACATTCATAATAAGTATTATCTTCTCAGAGATGTAAGATGAAGACCATTTAGAAAATCTAAATCTATCTCTAAAATGTTGTTCACAAATTTATTTTGTTCTATAAAGTTTCAATTCTTAAAGAAAAAAATTAATATACCTTGAGATCACGATGAACAATGCACTTTTGATGACAGTACTGTACAGCAGACACAATCTAAAATATAATTACTTTATTAGTAAAATAACACATAAAGACAATCCTAACAATAATTGTATCTGTATAGTTGTAAGGCATTAAAATCAATCTGCAATAGCAACTTCATATAATGTTTACAATATGTCTGTATGTATTGTAATATGATGTTAACTGTGATAGGAGGCTGTTAGGTAAAATAAAAATGACTTATTAATCATTTAATGGTTACATTCAGTGATCAATTTTTGCAATTGTGGTTTTTTAATATTGGATTGCTTTATCAAATCACAATTAACATTAACCTTAGAGCTGGCTTGGGCAACACAGAAGCTGCAGGTCAGTACAATGATTCCTCATCCAGATACCCATCATGGTTAACGAATTCTAGGCAGAGAAGAGGTTTCAGTCAGTGGCTTTTTATATCATAATGATTGAGATTCAATTATCTTAGCTCTCGCTAGTTCCCATGTTTTGGAATGCATTACTTTAACCAAAATTATTATGCCTTATTAGTTTTTGAAATTTAAATCTTGTCAATTAATATATTTTCAATATTAAAACTATAATTTTAATATTTCAATCATTATGCTCATACTTTAATGCAATTAAACAACAGAGGGGCTGAGACCTCTTCTTTGCTCTAGACTCAAGCATATTAGGAATGCAATGAATTGCCACTGAAGGAGGAAAATGATCTTTTTGTAAAACTGTAGCTTCCCTAAAGAAGGTGACATGATATACTGAAAACTAGACAACCATAATTAGTACAGTATTTTAAGCAAGTATTTCAACCAACCTCAAGTCAGGACAAAGGGATTTAAAGATGCAGTAGATTTCCCCAAAAAACTAAAGGCCAAAAATATACTCCTCCCATTCAAATGTTAATATTATTTATTGTTATCTACATAAATAGATCTACATCCGCATCCACATCCATTCTTGCTTGGCACTTAATATCATCCACATTATGTGCTAGCCATATATACAATTACCAAGTCACTATGAACTATGTTAAAATGTTGATGAGGAAAGGCATATGGAGAGCCAACTGCAGGAAGCTGCCAAAGATTCACTGACCCCTAGAAGCCATTCCTGACTTGACTTTTCCTGTGCCAAACTGGCTGCTTGAGAAAGTCCCCATTCTGCTGCCATGTGTACTGTATCTTTCATAAAATATTTGTTTTTATTGCATTTTTGAGGATGAACCATTTATCCATATGGAAAAGTCACACATTCTCAGAAGATTGAGGTTGGAAGGAGCGGGTACAAAAGTAGTGGGTACAAAATTGAGAAAGAGTCAATGGCAATAATACATTAACAGTGGATCTACCACTCAAGAGGGTTAGCCCTAGGGTTCAGATGTTGGGTGGGGACCGGAGGGTAGAAAAACGAACTGATACCATAGCATGTAAGCATGCTAACAAACATGTTTTCATTCCTTTTTGTTTCTACTTCTTTTATAAATATAATTTATTAAATTAGAATTATCTGTTCATTTTCAAAGATTTTCAAGATTCACAGCATAATAGTAAATGGCACAATTTTTTAAAAAGATAAATTAATTTCTTGTTTATTAGATTGTTTTGAAATCTGCAACGCATTTGGGGACTTCCAGTTTGAGCTTCTTCGGTGACAGACCAAAACCTCGTTTCTGCGAGGCTTCGATTCAGGCTCGCTGCTGGAGCGCCCCAAGCCGGCTGGTTTTGGGGCTAAGCCACCCCGTAGAGGTGGTGAAGAGGCGTGAGACTGCCTGCAGGGTTGAGGAGAGCCACATCTCTCCTCCCCAGCTGGCCATTACTCCCTTTCCCGAAGGCGGTTGTAGCGGTGGTCAGAAATGGCCACCACAAAGAAGAACTCAACCGGAAAAGAATGTGCAGGAGGAAGATAAGAAGAGAAAGTTTTGGTTGACCAGGTCAAACAGCAAAAGCAACAAATAAGGTACCCTGGAATTGAAACTATTAAAAAAAACCTATAACATTGTTCCCTAAGAAGATTTTTAAGCTGCGAAGGAGAGAAAAGGGAAAAGATTTGGGTTTTTTTTTCTCCTTTTCCTATACTGACAGCTAAGAGACTTAAGCAAGAAATTGGAAAAAATCCACTTTGACATTAATAGGCATTTAATGCTGAAAATAAAAAGTCAAAGGGATAATAAAGATTTCTAGATAATCAAAAGCTTTTGAAAACAGGAGAGAAAAAGAATAAAAGGGCAAAATCTGGAAGGGAGGAGACTGCCTGGAATTAAAAAGAATTTACAGCAAAATTTCAACAAGACTTCTAAAAGATACATTTTAACTGAAATATCACAACAAAAACTCCAGGAAGAGAAAGTAGAAAAAGAAATAAGAAGAAATAATTTGGGACTATTTGGATTACTTGATGATTTCTGGATTTTTGGTTATTGTATTGACTAAAATCAATCAGGTGGTTGTTTAAAACTGTTTAAAATGGCTCCACTTTTAGAAGAACTGAAAATGGAACTTAAAAAGTACAAAAGAAGATGCACAAGAAGGGAGAGGTTCTTTTGGCTTCGTATTTCAGTTTTTAGAAATGGAGATTTGGAATTATGAGAAACAACAAGAAATGCCTGCAGAACAAGAAGATTGCGACAAAGAAGAAGCCATCTTTAATGAACAAGTAATTTTAGGTGGGGGGAAAAAAGAAAGAGGGGAAAGAGAATGGAAAATTGGGAAAAACAATTGGGAAAAACAACCCCCCAAAAATAGAGTGAAAAATAAGTATAAAATCAGAAAGCAACAGAAGAGGGAAATGCAGAAGAGAGAATTAGAAGTAGAGAGACAAGGTGATTAAAAAGGGGAGGGAGAAGAAGAGAGGGAAGAAAGAAAGGAAAAGAAGTTATAAAGGACAGAAACAAAATATAGAGAAACAGCGCCTATTTAGAGATAATGGGTGAAAATTTAATGGAAAAAGGGATTCTGCAAAGGTACATAAGATAGTATTGTTATATTAGAAACAAAAATAATTTTAGAAAATATGAAACGATGTATGATTAAAATGATTAAAATGTTTGATAAAAGCTATCATAATTCAGTGGAATGCTTGTCAATAAATAAATGTAACAAAATGAATATTCAATGTTTTACAAAACATATGTGAAGAGAAATAAGGGAAAAATTAATTATGGAGATTATATGTCTCTTTAAGGAAGTATGATATTTAATTGAAAAGAAGTGTTAAAGATGTTAAGATTTTAATGATTATTAATGATAGAACTGAATTGGAATGGAATGAGGGTTTATAATTACGTATATTTATAAACCTTTTTTTAAGAATATAGGGTGTATTATAAGAATGTGCCAAGCAGAATTCGATTGGAAGTTATGTATTATGTATTATATATTGAAGGTCATAACCTTAAGGTATATATTGAAGTTTAAATAAGAGTTCAATGGATGTAATTAAAAGATATAAAGGTGTCATTCTCCAATTAGTAACTACAGGAGAAAATTTGTTTAATGAGAACAGACAATATGAAATTGAAACAGAACAGGCAAAAGTATAAATATAATGATTTGAATTGAGATGCAATAATCAAAATAAAATTGAGAAAATTAAAAGAGGGGAAAAACTATATAGAAAATGTAGAATAGTATAAGATATGGAATAGAATACAAAAAGGAGCATGAAATTGAGTTTTGTGTCTGTATAAAGAAGTTCAACCCGGGACCATGCTATTTTCAAAAAAGATGTTTTACTTGTATTTTGTATGTATGAAAACCCAAATAAAACTTTATTAAAAAAAAAAAAAGAAATCTGCAACACATTTATATTTACTTTAAAGATAGCTGATCCAAAATTTCTATTTTGTTAAAAAAAAAAAAATTAGTTTTACTATCTGAAATTCCATTTGAGAACTAAGAACCAAACTTAATTTTATTTGGAAGTATATATATGTTTTTATTTAGTTCATACCTGCCTAAATTTTGCACGGGCCTCTTTCTCTTTCATTCTTCCATGTGCAACCAAGTAGTCAAATACTTCTCCTAAAATAAATTTAATATTATTACACTGTATAATACTAATGTCTGAAATATATCTTCTGTATTTATGAAATTTTACAAATAATTAAATTATCTTTAAAACATAATATTTTTTTCATTTTATATTAATTCATAGAGAAAACTATGTGTCTGCTTCCTATATTAAAATAAAATTAGTATTCAGATTATATTTTAGTATCATAATTAAGGGTAAAGGTAAGAAGTATTCTTCCCCTTCATAAACTAAATATCAGTAGGAATGAAGTTTTTTGTGAAAATCTGATATCAGAGGAGGCCTCAGTTAAAGTCTGAAATGGGATTCATTACATTATCTATTGAAAACTAGGTTGTAGCTCAGCTTGTGTTTTTCAGAGAAACAAAGCATAAATCAACCTCCATCAACAATAGCCAAAAAAATAGTAACTTCCAGCTAATCCTAACTTCCAGCTCAACTATGGTTCCCATGAGGTGGAAATAAATTCAACATTTTTTTCACAATTCTCCACCCCACTTTCTAACATCTGCATTACATATTCCACACATTAGAAGTAGAACAGAACATTAACTTACCTCCACTAGCATACTCCATTATTAAATATAATGTTTTCTCTGTTTCAATAACTTCAAATAGTTTAACTGAAAGATAAAATGGTAATAAATTGACTAACCATAAGCAACCAAGAATATTTGAAAACAAAACTAAATACTTCATTTCTAAATTGATGTATCTCATCTACATCACATATATGAAGAAATGCATGCTGAAATCATAGTTTGGTTCTACATATGTGGCTCTTGAAATCAAAACCATTCACTATTCTCTTAGAATTAGATTGGATTAGAATAGTGCCTGTTTTGATTCCCCTGAAGAAGACAAGAATTTCCCAAAGGAGGCAGCAGAACCGTTAAGAACCAAAAGGACAATGCCCTAGAATATATTAGCAACATGTCTATGAAGATGGAAGAGTTTAAGTTGACAAGATTTTAGCATCCTGGAAACCTGCTTATTCTGATGAAAGCAGGAGCTGCAAGTCCGTATTCTCTATGCAACAATGTGTGTACCTTGTATGAAACAAGCCCTCTGGTCAATTCAGAAACAATAACTTGTCTCTCCAACAATATTGTTCTACCCCTCACCAGCCAGAAGAATTGTCATCACATAGTAGGTCTTTAAAGATGGGAGAAACTAAACCAGAAAGGGAAAGTTACACACTTTCATTATGAAGTGGTACCAATTTTCACTAAATCTTTAAAGTCTATTTTGATAAAACTATTATCACATTTTCATAAATTAATAATAAATAATAGCATATAGTGCTTATAAAGATTCATAGCACATTGCATGCATTATTTCATTGTAATCCTTGTAGCAATCCCAGAAGATGAACTATAGGAATGTATTATCTTTGCCATGCTGGGTGAGGAAAACTGAATCTGAGAAAATGGCTTCCTAAAATTGCTAGTGAATTCACAGCAGCAAAATTTGAAACAGGAATTCCTGATACACAGCTTACTGCCTTATTTTAACTACGATGCTAATCAGCCCAGAATTACAATCCTGATTAAAGATGTTTTCACAATGAGAATTTGAATTACAGTACTGTAATCAGTTTCTTTTCATTGCTAAGCAGAGAGAAATTTTCAAGGCCAAAAGGGGCAGAGCATAGACTAGGGCCAGGTTTTTAGACTTTATCTGTTTCTAAATTGGTATGCTGGATATTAAGACTTTGCCAACTACATTGGCAAGAAGACATTTTTGAAGGCAAAAAGCATTTGAATCAAATACATATAACAAAAGTGCCTGTTTTTTGTTTTAAAGTAGAGTTTCTTTCAAGGAAATAATCTAGAATAGATTTTACTATGTAATGACATAAAAGGTTGATTATGTAAGGGAATTCCAAAACTGGATTTTTAGACTATGATTCTGCCATGGCAAAGCTGGAAAACCAATTAGAAAATTTGCTGCCTGTGCAGAAATAAATGAAACAATCTGCATCCATATTACTATATACTTACAATTGAATAATTATTTTTCAGAAGAATTATTGTTTGCTTTATATGGGAAAGCATGAATTCTTTAAAAACCAAAAGCAATATGTATTAAAAATCTAGAAACTGTGTATAATGATGTTCACAAAACAAAGTATTAACTATTTTGTTTCAAAGGTTTTCCAAAGTTCAATATAATTTATAAAAAATAAATTGAATGTAGAAGAAAAATCTAAGATTCCTACCTATATTCGGATGATTCAGTATTTTCATTATTCGTACTTCTCGAAACAACTGTTAAAAAAACCCATGTATCTGAATAATTTTTATACAACTTTAATACATTATATAAATATTAAAAGAATATATATTTAGGAGTTTGCTTTAAAACTTAGCATGCTACTGCAATAGCTGTATATCTATCTATACAAGTAAAGGATAAGTTCTTAAATGAGTTGTATTATTCTCAGTGCAATCAATTGGATTTACCTTTAATGATCTCTAACTTTTCAAATTGATTTCAATGGTCTCTTAGCTTTATTGCCAATATCCTTTCAGGCCTGAGTTATAATATAAATGTACATGACTTTCTAAAATTTCTTTCCACATTCAGCTACTATCTGAGGTTTAACAGGAACTGATCTTATCAGTTTTTCAGATTGGCCATTCATATGAAAAACACAATAATAAGAAAATCACGAGAACGATCCGAAGAAATACTTTTTTTAGGCTATACAAAATTATCATCTCTTGCAGAAGCATTTCAATACAACAGTATAGCAGCAGTATATCAAATCAACAAAGCAAGACAGATATTGTGCAAACATAAATTAACATGGAAACAGTTTGGTGTCAATAAACAATTGAAACATTGATTTTTTAAGGTTTTTTTTTAAAGTAAACTGATATTCTCTCAACCAGTTCAAGGACCAGGTAAAGCATTTATTTATGCTAGTTTAATAAAATGTTAATTTAGATAAAGCAAGGGATTTGTGAGATGACAAATAAATAAACTAAATTAACATGAAAATTGTATTGCTCTTCATAAGATCACCAGACATAGCAGACCTGCTCACAAAAATTGTCAAACAAGTGTATCCAAATGGTTGCAGTGCACAATATAGCAGCTCACTAGCCAGAAGCTATTTCAAGCCACATTTTGAGAAGTACCTGCCATGGTTATGTTTGGATTTGATAGCTCACTTCCAACTGAATAGTGGCCTAGCTAAATGCTAGGATGAGAAGATAATATTTCTGATAATAACTGCATTTTTAAAGGAAGTATTTTAATTTTAAGAGAAGTTGTACACCAGATCAACATTTTTCTCACATATTACTCACAGCCTACATCAGCAAAGCATAACTTTCATTTATATTTCTTGTCAAATGCACCTTAGCAAGCATGCCATTAAACACTTTTGAAATAATATCTTATTATATTTTTAAAAAATCAGAGAACCACTTTGGTCTAGGCACCAGGCTAGAAAGTATGAGACTGTGAGTTCCAGTCCAGCCTTAGCCATAAAAGTCAGCTAGGGCCAGTTACATTCGCTCAGTCCAACCCAACTCACAAGGTTGAAGTTATGTCTTGACCATCAGCTCAGCCTGTTAAGTTACTCAATAGAAGCACAAAGAATTCTCCAAAATAGTTCAGTTTTAGAAGGTGAGTATCAAGTATTAAATTCCAGGTCAGAGGATTTATTGTTCAAACCAAGACTCTAATTAAGTAAAAGTCAGTAGTAAACTGGGGCTAGATAAGTGTTAATGGAACTCCAGGGGAACTGGAGTGTTTGTGGACACATAGTAATTCTAGGCTGAGTCCTCTTTTGACTTCCCTCCTCCAGCACTGCCTTCTCCTTCTTCTACAGTAAGTCAACTAGTTATTATTACCTATTCCCATATTAAATCAGGATGTACTGTAGCTGTCATTCTCAACGTAAACTACAAGCAACTCAAGCAGACTACTATTCTCAGTGTTTTTCAGTTATCTTGTATGAGCAAAGAAACAAAAGAAAGAAAGAAAGAAAAATAAGAGGTTGGGCTCTTGAATCCAAAATGCTAATGTATTATGACAGAAACATTACCTTTTGTAGACTGGTAGGATTTAACTGGGTTTTATCTATAATTTTGACAGCAACCTAAGGATGAAAAGGCAAAAAATAACTTCTTCAACCAGTTAAACTTTTTACAGTATGTAAGAATTGTTTATTTTAATTTAGAATTTAAAAATCTCATCAGAAAAAAGAGGGATAAGTAAGCCAAGAAGAGAATACTTTCTCTTCCACCCACACTGTACTTTAAAATTTTATATACACTGTTTTACAAAAATATAGTGATAGACCAAAATCTGCCCACAGAGCTGCTGGCGTTATATGTCTTATGGTACTAACAAAGCTGCCACACCTCAAGAACAAAGTTCAAGTATGTAAACTACAGACAGCCAAAAACAAAACAAAACACCTTTATATGCTGGATTTCATTTTGAACAATGAAAATATTGGACACACATTTTGCAAATAAAATAATAGTTATCAAGCCTAGCCTAAAAAAACTTACCTCTCTACCTGTAAGAACATGTCTAGCCAGCTTCACTTTAGCAAAATTTCCTTTTCCTATTGTTTTTAATAAGCGATAGTTCCCAATGTGAGGATGCTCTTCATTTACAGAGGTGATTGAGTTTCTGCAACGGGGTATATTCTGTCGACTACTTGATTTTGTAGGTTGGATATGAGATTCAGAATATCCATCAGCAGAAGTGTGCTACAAGATTAAAAACAACAAGAATCACTACTTTAAACTGTATAGGATTTATGATTTCTAAAATAATTAAAGAAACTAAAAAATGTTTTAAAAATAAGCAAATGCTATGCTTTCCTTTCTTAATATGTTTCTTTATTAAATTGAAACTTGGACATTTTAGTTCAGAATTGAACTAATTTTCAATTCAAATATAATGGAAAGGATTAATAACTGAAAATCACATACAGATATTAGACTTTCTATTACAATAGTCTGATTATTTATTAAATATTAATGTTTAAGTTTTAATGGAAATGTGTACCATGATGGAAAATAATGCATTTGGCTTCTTATCAAATGCTATATATCTTGTTAATATTCTGCATTTTTATAGGTTAAGTTTTTTAAAAAAATGTAATTTGTGATATAGATTCATTTCATCTTGAACCTACATTGAATACAGCACAACTCACCACTTAATTTGTTTATTAGTTAAAATATCTCAACTCTATATAGGACAATATAATACACTATAGACATGCGAAAAACTACAAACTTTGTTTAGAAGGCTAGTTCAATTCAGAGGAGGTGGCTATTACTACCTTTTTGAGTGTTGGGGTTGTATGTGTATCCAAGCATTTGGATTCTACCACATAATACAAACGTATTGATAATTTGTAGGTACAGCAAGGCAAACAAATTTTAACTATTATTTTATTCCTGGACGTTTGTATGGAAAGACAAAACTCAGGGTCATGTGCTACCTTCTTCTCTCAAACTCCTCTTGCCTACATAGGAAAAATGACTGCAAAAATAACTAGTGTTATTATTAGGTCAGCCTGTATTGGATATACAGTACATAGAGAATGAAAATCTTTGCATTATTTGTTCAATGCTGATTTATTATGTTTTCTTATATATTAGGCTGCTCTTGATATGACATAGAAGCAATATTTGATATAAAATATTTGACTCACAAATTGGCACACCAAAATGGAACATAGCACTAGTACTAGAAAAAACACTTAGACTTATATACTCACTTCATGGTGCTCTACAGCAGTGGTCCCCAACCTTTTTTGTACCAGGGACCAGTTTCACGCAGAAACACTTTTTCAAGGACCGGCGGGGTGGGTGGGGGGGAGAGACTTTTTCAAGGAGGGGGGAGGGGGAGGACTCCAAGTTTGGTGGTTTGCTTGCAGACGCTTCATTACCTGACTAGATAACATCTGATGTTGTTACCTAGTCGGGTAATAAAACATCTGCCAGCAAACCACCAAGTTCAGGGAGGCTCAGGACAAGTCCCTGCAGGATGGCTGAGAAGCCCCGCCTCTCAGCCCTCCCTCCCTCAGCCTTATCCCTCAGGTGTCTGCCTCGTTCCTCTCTCAGTCGCTCTCTCGCTCCTCCACCAGCCCAGGAAGAAACTGCTTCAAAGAAGCTGGCAGGGTGGCTTTTCCTGTCGGCGCAGCTCCTCCAAAGCGCCCGTTCACCCCCACCCCGCTGCCCGCGGTTCAATCCAGTGCCCCGTTCTGCCTGCCTGCCTTCGTTTCTGGTTGTTTCGGAGCAGCTTCGGCCGAGTAAAAGAGGCGAATAGTTATTATTCTCAGCCAAAGCTGCTCCGAAACAACCAGAAACGAAGGCAGGCAGGCAGAACGGAGCACTGGATTGAACCGTGGGCGGCGGGGTGGGGGTGAACGGGCGCTTCGGAGGAGCTGCGCCGACAGGAAAAGCCATCCTGCCGGCTTCTTTGAAGCAGTTTCTTCCTGGGCTGGTGGAGGAGCGAGAGTGACTGAAAGAGGAATGAGGCGGGAGGAAACCAAAGCCGCTGAGCCAGAGAGCAGGACAGGCTTTGGTTGCTTCCTCCCTCCCCTTCTTTCATTTGTGTCCTTGATCCCTGATCCCAGCAGCATTCACCGAAGGCGAAGAAAGCTGCCATTTTTATTTTATTTTGATTTTCTTTGCGGCCCGGTACCAAATGATCCACGGACCGGTAGCGGTCTGCGGCCCGGTGGTTGGGGACCCCTGCTCTACAGCAGCAGCCCCCAACCTTTTGGGCACAAGGGACCGGTTTCAGTAGCCAAGGGGATTTCATACAAACTTGTTTTACTCCATGCTCAATGTTCCCTAAATATCCATTTATTATTAATTTTAACCAATCTTCCACTCCAGATTCATGCAAATCAGTCTATAATTCAGGGCTACTTACTTTATCAGTCACTTTTTGAAAATCAACAAACATTTCCATCCACATCTTCATTTACTTCATTGTTTTATTAAGCATTCTTTTTCGTGTTTCCCATTATGTTGCTATACAGATATCCCTGGCATTCTGCAGCATAAGCCTTTTCAATCTGTTGCAAGCAGTTACTTTCACCTGCTCTTTCCCTCTATACATTTTCTTTGCATTTTGTTGGGAGATTAATGTATCTTTTATAACATTTTCATACTGGATTAACCTTTCCTTCTAAATGTTTTATTCTCATTCATTACTTTTGATCATGCTTCTTCTAAATTGGGGGTCAGCAATGTGCAGCTCTAGAGCCACATGCGACTCTTTGGGCCCTCTCCTGTGGCTCCGTGTTGGATGATCACACCACTGGCTGCCCCTGCCTTTGCCCTCCCCTTCCACTACTCACTTTTCACCTGCCCTCAGAAGGGCAACGACAGCAGATGAAGATTTATTCCTTATTCCAGGAGTAAAGTGCTCGACTTGCCTTTTTCTGACACTTGCTGGTGCTGGCTGTTGTTGTGGCCCGCCAGCAGAGCTGGCAGCAGACTTGGACAGTAAGGAGGTTGGGGAGGAACATGGGCCAGTCCTGGAGTCTGGGGAAGGCTCTGATGAGTGCTCTGCATAGGAGGCAGAGATGAGGCCAGGGCTGTCTGACAGCTATCAGCTGCCTTTGGAGTCGGAGATCAGTGGGGCAGAAGAACAGCTGGAGCCTGTTCCCAGTGTGTGCAGGTGTAACGCTGCCAGGAGAAGGGAACAGTTAAGGAACAAGGGTCGACTCGGGAGTAAAGGCGAATAGATGGTAGATGGTGAATAGCCCCTCCCATACGGAATAAAAAGGACTGAAAGGGGAGTGGTGTTTGCAGGAGACAATTAGTCCAATTTCATTAGGGTGAAGATTCTTGCCAAGTAATTGCTGTTACAGCGTGGTGTTTGGAAGGTATCAGCCTGGCTACTCTCCAAGCCTGATAAAGGTCAGTAGTTGTGAAATCTCATGAAAGTCTGTTTGCCAGGACTCTGTTGGAGAGGAATTTCCTTAAATCTAAATAAAAGGGGTTTTATCGGGACAAGGAGTCTGTTTCATGATCTTGGGAAGTGTAGGTCAGAATAGCTGCTGGGGAGATGAGTGACTTTTCTCTGCTCCAAGACACTGGCTGGGCCACCTACAGCCAATGCTCCATGTCGTAATGGGCTCCGTTAGGAATGTAAGTCACCCAACAGGTATTTGGGTTAAAAATATACAAACCAGGATATACATTTTAAAACTGTATCTTTAAGAAAATGCAAAAATGTAATTGGGTGTGGTTTCTCAAACGGCCATAAGATGGAGAAAGAAACCTGGGTTGTTTAGTCTTAGTTTCAGAAGAGAGTGTGAGTGAGCCTTTTTCCTTCTGTTGGAGAGTTTTGCTGTTCCTGTATTGACTGCTATTCTTGGATTTGATGTAAGTCTGATACTGAACTGTTTTTGACACTGGACTTTGTTATTGGATTATCCTTGGACTGAAAACTGACTGATTTACCTGTGAATGACTTTGGACTGCTTGTTTTGAACTTTGCTTAAACCTTTATTGAAAGTAAAAACCAACATTAACTGTACAGTGTATCTGTGTGCTGTGTGTGTATTATTCAAAACACTTCTCTCACTACGTCTCCCTGTATGCGCTCATTCTCCTAATGGGGAATTACCTCAACAGGCTCCAGGAGGAGGAGGAGGGGACACAGTCTCCCCCATTATGAAGCGCGCTAAGTTTAAATGCGCTGCACGAGGCACTGCAAGACCAAGGAGCAGCCATGGAGGCAGCGAGAGCAGCGGCATTAGCCACAGCTGGCCCAGCCAGTGTCTTGGGGCAGAGAGAAAGTAGTGTGTCCCCCTTATTCCTCTTGCCGCCTCCATGGCTGCTTGCTGCTCTTATAGCACCTCGGGCAGCACACTTAAACTTAGTACAAGGTTCGCACAGCACCAACAAGGGCTGGAAAAAGAGGCAAGTAGAGAGGCGCTTCGCTCCCACTCTGGAATATGGAGCAAGTCTCCATCTGCTGCTGTTTCCCTTCTCTTCTCAGCAGGCGAGGAGTGAGTGGGACGGGAGGGTGAGGGGCAGGGCCAGCCAGTGGTGGGATCATCCAACAGAGAGCCACAGCAGAGGGACAAAAGAGCTTCATTTATCTGGGAACCTGAAATGACTCTTGATTGAAATCGTATGGTAAAAAGCACTCAAAGAAGAAGAAAAAAACAACACCATGTACAAAATATTGATAGTCTTAAACTATGTGTTTGAAACAGTTCTTTTTCTAGGCAGAAACTTCCTAAGTGGTCAAAAATTCTTGATTTCTAGTTTATTTATTCCTCATATCATCTAATAGAACAACTTTTTCCCATATATCATATTAATTCAGATCATTTAATACATTTTCCTAAAATGCATCTTTGTTTTTCCATTATCACCTTTCCTTGGAATATAACATGCATTTAGTGGCAACCAATAGATTCTTCTTTTCCTATGCTTTTATTATAAATCATGTGATTTCAATTTTTATTATCTAACAAGCCTTTTAGCCTTTTCATTCATAATTATACCCTTATTTCACTTCCCTGTGTTATGCATGGAAAAACTTTGCAGACCTACAGATATTGTATTTTTCCTTTCTTTTCTTGATTTCAGAAACACACAATGTATCTTTTACTTGTTTTCATTTCATTTGTTAATTCATGTTATGTATCTTTTATTCGTCTTAAATTTCAAATCATAATCTTCCATAAGCTGATTGCCACCAGATGGACCACAGATATTGACCT